CAAGTCGAAGCTTGTTTATATCACATGATGCATATGTTCTCTTGTACAAAATACACGTGAAGTGCTCCAAACTTTCAAATACACGATCATCTACATCAGGTGTGGTTCCTAGTGTTAGGAATGTCTCAATAAATTCTGGATGCTGCTTTAGAATTTTCAAGGCAACAGTTTTCCTTTGCGAACAAAAGCACTGATTGTGTCACACCCAGAAAATGCATGAAGTGCGGGTAAAGCTGAACATACATGTATGTCTTTCCCTGTTTCTGCAATGACTTTATGAAGGTCTATAAGTCGTCTTTTGTTCGAAACTTCTGTATCAAATAATAGTGAGTTTGTAATACATTGCCCAAATTTGAGTAACAAAACAAAGACATTCGTATCAGGGGATCTTACAACAATTGTTATATCTGGTGAACTTGAGGCAATGTGAAGGCAGTGCAAGACTATTCGACTATCAGCTTCTTCTTGTGTTGAGTGCAACTCTTCTACCTCTGCTACTTCAGTAGTCAGTCCATCTGTAGTCGACAAAGATATGCACATCTTCTCACACACAAACTACATTTCTTCCCAGTAACCTATTGGCATATTTGTCCTTCTTCCGTTCTTCTAGAGGCAGTTTAATCAATTGTCGCTTGTTTTCTGCATTTGACAAGAATGTCTTCCAGTCTCGTGGTATTTTTGTAAGGGCACCTTTGATCATGTATGATTTTGATACGCCTCTGCGGGTTCTCTCTGCATCTTTTATGGGCATAGGGAAATATGTGTGGGTTACAAAATCCACACGTTGTACCTTTGGAAGCTGGGAGAACAATGTTTCCGCTAAGTCTCCAAACGTGCTTGGTAGACCTGTTTGGGATTGGAAAAGTGCATTTCCATCAATGACATAATCTGTAATATTTTGATTTGGTCGTTCTGTTAAGGCTACATTCTCCTCAAGGTAGTGCATCAGTTTTGACTTGTCTGTCTTTGCAGGAGACCCATCAGATGTGGCAAAGAACCACGGTACAGACCCCAGTTGATAGCTAAGTGCCTTTCCCAAGTTGATGTTATGTCTAGTTGCAAGCAATGCAAGTTGGCCAAGAACATTTCATTCTGCTGTGATCTGTTTTGGTTTCTTCTGTGTTCCTTTCACTGTCACAGTTTTGGCAAGTGACGCAAATGTCTTCAATTTCAACTTCTTTATTGGGTCATTGAATTACTTTGTTTTAT